CTAAGAATAAACCAGGAAAAGCCTCTGGAAAGGTCTGCTAAGCAGTGAGCTGAAAGAAGCATCTCAAGATACAGCGAGACACCCTGGCCTCAGCTTAGAACACAGCCTTAGGTGACCTCTGCTATGTGACCACAGGCGACAATCACACATTGCACTTGAAATTACTGATTTACTTGCCCATGAAATGTTTAAGCCAGCACAGAAAAGTAGACATTAGAAAAAATACTTACATCCCTGTCCATATGGGACATGTTAAAGTTGCTAAGCTTAAGAAAATAGGTAGGTGCCCCCTCCTGCTCATTAAAGGGACTTGTGAAGCAAATTGCAGCATTTAAGATCCTGCCTACCCAGAAGCCAGATAAATTATAATTTTTTCCTTTTTTTTTAACAGTTTGTCTCAAACAAGCTACAATAATATGCATCTCCAGCAGAGAAAGCAGGTCAGCACTGACTGCCATTCAGAAAGAGAGATGGTAAATTAAAAGAAATAAGCCAATTAAGAGGCAATTGGGCAGTCCTAGTCCAGAAGATACTAAAGAGAAAAGACAGGAGATAAGGAACAAAACTGTCTGAGAGAACTCAGTCTCCGCAGCAGAGGCTGGGGCAAATCTGGTGTTGTGGATGAGATATATTTCCTGTCCTTGCCTGCAAACTGAGGAAGCATGCTATGATCAGACCCTAGAAATTAAAAATAAAATCAAAATCCAAACAACAACACTGCATTTTTGTCAGCTTTAAGCTTCTTGTTTTCCTTGTTAACAAGATCAAGAAATTTCTTTGCCAGAGAAAGCTCAATAATTCTGTAAACTTACAAAAATTTTTGAAAGACAGGATTACTGATTAACTCCTGATTAATGCTGAAGTTTTAGGGCATTCTAGCAGCTAAATTAATACTTAAATTGTATGTGCAGGATTCAAAACTAGCTCTCTTGAGACATGCAAAGCAAACTTGCTCTCAAGGTCTTCAGAATAAGCATAATAGTCCTGGGTTTGGTCCCATGCACTCTAAGCACAACAAAATTGCAGCCATATAAAACCACAGAGAACAATGAAGTCCAAGTAATAAAAGGTCATGGCACATGAAAAGCTGACCTTCAATTTGCTGCAACTGAATTTTTGCAAAAGAAAAAAAGTGCAATCCCTTTAGAAAGAAAATGTAAGATGTAACCTAACCCACATCCACTCCCAAATCAAAGGTCAGTAATGTTAAATGTACCTTTCTATATTGCCCAAAAACCTGAATATACTGGATCTGTTGAAGTGTCTAATACCAGCTAGAATCAAGAACAGCAGAAGAAAAATTTGGATGAAAAGTTTCTTCTGGAATGTACCAGATAAGGCTTCTTGCAATATCATAAAAACATATGGAGAAGACACTTTTAATTCAATCCGCATTAAAGATTTTCAATTAATTCCAGAGGGGAAACAAAAAAACAAGCACATCTCTACTCAGCATAAAAAGCAACAATCTTTGTAATGGAGCAGAAGGACGAACACTTTTCTCTCTTTTTCAGAAACCAAGCTCTGTAAACACTGGGCATACTATCAGTCTGAACTTTCTCGATGCTCTGAATGACTTGGTCAAATAATAGCAAAGTCACTGCCCTGCATTGCTCAGACAAGGTACACAGCCTGCTTAGACTTGGCTTCAAAGGAAATCAGGAACAGGACATGGGCTGTTTCATCATGGGCATGTTTGGAATTTGAGGAAATTACCTTTTTATTTTAAATTACAGAAATTATCATCATACATTTGTATTTGAATTCACAAATGTTTCTTAATAGAATAACATGTTGATTAAGTCATCAAACAAAATACTCTGGCACTGGTAGCAGCAAGGCAGCACCAGCTGTTTCTGAGAGCAACTGTGTCAAGTGCAAAAGCTGACAAGTTTTGAGTTAACAGCTAGCAACCTGACCATGTTTTCTTTTCAGCAGCAAGAGGACAGAGGCACAGCTCACTTGGTCAGAGCCTGGTGCTAAAACCAACAAGGTCAGGGTTTGATCCCTGTACAGACATTCACTGAAGGGCTGGACTCCATGATCCTTGTGGGTCCCTTCCAACTCAGAATATTCTGTGATTCAAATGTGGAGTCAGCAGGAATGTTTGTATCCAAAGTGCACAGAAGGAAAGGAACCTCTGCCTTTCAATTAATTATTTAAATTACTTGATGCAACCCTTATGTTCACAGTCTGCAGCTACACTGAGAAACATAAGCAATCCAAAACCTCTAAGGACCTTAATCATAACAGAATATGCAGGGGGAACTTGTTGACAACCGCAGCAGTAATTTAAATCTGCTGGCACTTTTGGAAACAAATAGCTCTGTATAAAATCCAGCTGGAGCTGGCTTCCCCTCCTCTTGGTCTCTGAACACTGACAGCAGGACATCCCCACCTCCACCCACCAGGTGATCAGCAGGGCAGGTGGTGAATCCTGTAGATGATCACATGGAGCACATGGGTGTTTTCTCTCCTGAGAAAAGCACAAAGCAATTCTTCTGCAGCTGTCACTGAGAAATGCTTCCCCCAGAAACAGCCTGTGTGGTTTTTCAGTGTTTTTACTGCTGGACAGCAACCATGGATTTTTGTGGAAATAGTTACCCTCTCCAAAAGTACAATTATTCACTGTTAAAATCCACAAGCAATAATGGGTTGGTGGTGTCGAAGCTTTTCTGTCTCCTCACCAGAAAGTTATTTTATCATTAATTTTTGGTCAAATCCCAACAAATCATTCCCACCCATCAAACGAGGATGTGTTGCAGCAGTCTGAGACTTCACAAGTCTCCAGTCACCACTGGAGACATCCCTGGAGTCTTGACCTTGTGTCCAGACCTTGTCTTTCTGCTGAAGTGCTGCTCAAAACATCCTTCAAGATCTGTAACTACTTATTTTATAGTATGTAAACTTCAAAATACTTCTCTGAATTTTAAGGGACAAGAATAGTACAACAAAAATCAAGAGGCTGAAAGATAAGATGATGCAAAGGAGATAAACCATGTTGCTATATTTTTTTTAGATTCAGTGTACAGAGCTTTTATGAAGCTAGTGAAAACCTTCTAGATGAGCCTTTAGAGCACATAAATTTAGAATTATTTTCTTTCTACTCCCTCCTCACTAACATTGCTTAAAAACAATGCTGACAATAATGCCAGCAATGTAATTGAGCCTGTGAAAGGCACCATAAAGGCTTCTGTGCCTCAAGGCACATTGCTTCTGCTCCTTCTTTTATCTTTCCATGTATTTAATTGAACTCGGCCGTAGCCTTTACCACATGAAACCAAGATGGAAAAGCAGTAGATTTGATCTGTGTGCTGAGTCTGGACTGCCTTGCTGTGAACTGCTGGGGGAAGTTGTGCCTGGAGATCCCCTGGGTTTGAAACAGCAGAGCCCATGTTACCTGTCCTCCTGCTCCCACTTGGTGGGAAGTTCTGCCCCACATCTTTTCCATGTAGCAGCCCATAGCAAAAAAAGTCAGGATAGCAAACCTTTAAAGAAATTTTCCCTAAATGACATATAACTGTTGATAGGGAGCAGTATCTCACTAGCACAGGTACAGAAACCAGAGCCTTTACCCTAATCATTATACTTTCAAAATATTATAAACCATGGGCAATCAAAACTAAAAACTGTACATTGCATTAACATGATATCTACAGACCAGTCTCCCCTTCACTTTATTTTATGCTGTGTTTCACCCCAAACTTTCTGATTGCCAGAAAGATTTTTCAAAATGGAAAGCAGTATCTTTTGTGTTTGGCTGATATCCAGCATTGCAGGACATCCTGCCTGGTTGGAAGGTGCAGAAACAACACTGCTAAATGTGCTCAGGAACACAAGTATCTTCTCATTTGCAAAGAAAATAAGGAAAAACTCTAAGATAAGGGCCTGAAGTCTGAGATTAGATAGAAGTTCTAAGACTTACCACACATATCTAATTAGCAGAACATAGCGTACAAGAGAGTGATAACCTGTGTCTGGGTGAGAATGCCCTGAATTGGCACACATGGGGGGCAGGGTAGGAGACCAATGCCATCCCATTGGCACTGGTGTGTTCCCAGAGACACTTGGGGTGTGCTGTGGATTTTGTGGGCTGGCAGGCAGGGGGTGCAGGCAAACACACACTTAAGTGGCCCCTTCTTCCCCTTTGTACAAGAGACCAGAGACCAGGCTGCTTCCCTGCTCCTGAGGGAGGATGGACAGAGCTGGGAAGGCAGCAGCGTCTTCCTCACTTCCCAACGGTTTCACCTGCACTGGTCAGCAGCTCCATGTCCAGCTCTGCAGCATCAATCTCAAATTACAAATCATTTCTAATGCACAGGATCATAGAAGTTGGTGCAAAACCAACTCAGACCTGAAGTTCCAGAGAAGAAATTCTGGCAATAATGGAAGGACATAATCAGTATTATTGTCATAAAATGTCTGTAGTTACTACACTGGCAATTTTTCCAAATGAGTTGGCTTGGAGACTGGCCTCTTTCACTGATTACTAAATTATTTTCTTTACAAAGGTCTAAGTGGCTCTGTTTTCCAGATGTATAGCCTGAAGCCACTTGGTTCAGAGCTTTAGTCCCCCGAGATTCATCTTGGACAGTAAAAAAATGAGACAGATGAACACTAAACTACTCTGTGTACAAACTCAGCAGTGGCTTGTCTGGTGAGAACACTTTGTGTAAAGTACCACTGAATTTAAAACAAAGACAGAGGTGAACTGAAGCTAGTTAAAAGTTAGAAGTCAGAAGCAGTATTTGATAACAAAGCATTTTAAACCAAATAAAGCTTCCTGAAGAGAATTTTGGCTTCACCACATCTCACTTCATCTGGGAGAGCTGCCTTGCCAGGCAAATTAAGAGCAGTGTGCTGAACTGGCACTTTCCCAACCCAGCCACTGCCAGAATTCTGTAGTGCCCTGTCCCCCTTGCCTGTCCCCAAGGAGCAGCAGTTTCTTTATTTGAACATGCAGTTATACATTTGCCCAGCACTTGCTGAGCAGAACTTACGTTTTTCTTGAAAGAGAGCACCTGTGCTCAGGGAGGGGAGCTCTCTGCAGCCACTTGCACATCTGGTGGGTGAGGATGCAGCACTGCTGGCAGGGACAGGAGTGGGTGAGCGGGACGAGGATCTCACACAGAACCACGGAGTCACAGGTTCCCACCAGCCTTTGCCAACATGGAACAGGATCTGGGCAGCACAGCAGGAAACAGGGAAGCTCAGCCCCTCTGGCAGCTGCTCCAAAGGAGATCTGGGGCCTATGCACCTGTGATGAGCTGGGCAGCTTTGCTGCTGCTGAGCTCTTCTCAAAGCACTCTCAACCTGTGTATGGCACTGGGCTGAACTGCTCACTGGGGACGAGACTCAAACATGCCAGGGAGACCTCTGGGGAAGAGAGAGGGAGAGAGAGAGAAATGAATGAAAAACAATGCTTTTCCTTGAAATTTAAATGTCTGTGGCTTTTCTAGAGTATGTTTGAAACATCCCAATTAAATTAGTCCATTAGACAAAATCCTATTAATTGGACAGCTTGGTCAGCTGTGGCTTACTCAGAATTTGTTCCGTTTTAGTATTTTATCGTTAAACATAGTTCTGAGTAATTCAAACCTCACAACACGAAAGAAAAATTGCCCATAATTAACATCTTCAAGTGCAAGGAGTTTTCATCACACAAACGCCAGCAAGAGCTCATACCACTCTCCTCTACTTCACTTGTTTATTTAGTCTGGTTTGTCACTCAGTTTCTTCTCTGGGTTCCACTGATGCAAACTTGCACTGGTTTGAACAGCTCCTCTGCAAACACAACAAACCAGCTGCATACAGGAAGGCTTAATCTGTCACCAGAACTGTTCAGTAATCAGATCCCTAAGCATTAGCTTTGTTAATTAAAGTAGCACATCTGAAAAATTAGCAGAAGGTAATACATTGGCATATTTCTGTGCAACAGGGAGAATTTATACCTTCAGCAGTCACCAGTGGACCGAAAAAAAGCAGTATAGCATGACACATGGTGTTGCAGCATCCTTGGGCTAGAAAGGCGATATGAGTCATTTAAAAACAAGAAACATTCAAAAGGTCATTAAAAAGCTACTAAACCTCACCAAATCAAATAAATACATTAATCAATTAAAACCTCTAGGAAGCATCCTAATTGAATTTTGCTGTAGTAGTGTCACATGGCTGTGGAAACTGCCCTTCAGTAATCCAACCAAAAATTGGCATGTTCCCATCCCCACTTATTCTCCCTGATTAGTGAAAAATCAGAAGGAAATAAGAAAATAGGTGGAGGGATTCAGGAAAAATAAATACTAGTATTTAAATTTCGTTGTGTTCTTCTCATTCATGAATCTTAAACTCATTTATCCAAGACAGTGGATTGCATTCTTCTGCAAGAGAAACATAATTGTGGCCATGAATCACTACACATATCATGGAACACAGCATCACAGGCAAGGGGAATCATCCAGCTCAGGAGCCCAGGTCAGGGAAAAGCCTGACACTCTGAGGAACAGACCATCTCCTGCTCCAAAACATCTCTACTGCACAGGTGTGTTGGTTTGAAAGTAAAACCAGTGCGGGACTCCAAGTCAGTAATACAATTTAATAGGAGAAAAGAGAAAAAATAAAATACATGCAATAATATAAAAGAAACAACCACCGACAAAGTCAGAAATACAACCTGACACCCTGTCAGTCAGGGTGTTGGTAGCAGTCTGTATAAATGGTGGCTGCAGTCCTCCTGGATGACAGATATGATTCAGTTGAAGCAGTGCTCCTGTGGAAGGTGCAGTTTTCCTCCGAAGATCCAGCGATGAGGTGGAAAAAATGTCCGACTTCCCTCTGGGATCCAGTGGAAAGGGCTGCTTTCGCGTCCCAAACCCCAGTTTTTTTATCTAGGTAGGAAAGGCGTGTCTCCTGCCCCTGGCTGGAGCATCTCCCAATGGGATGATGTAATCTTATCAGTCACACAATAGGACTTAATGGCCCATTAACAGAATATATCTTCTGGAGGAAGGATGGGCTGCGAAAAGATAACGATGATCATCCCCCTGATTTTACCAGATGGCACATCAACAGAGGATATCTCCCACAGAGATAAGGATCACCACCCCTCCCACATTTTAACAGATGGTGATAGAATACACATTTTTGCATTGTACCCCAGGACAACAGGCCAAGAAAACAAAATGGTAAAACTCCCTAGTGCACCCAACACCCTGACACAGACCCCAGAGCCTGGAGCAGCACCAGGGAAGCCTCCATGCAGAGGCTGTGCAGGAATCCAAGAAAGCCAAAATCCCTTTTCAGGAGTTTCCTGTGATATCTAGCATGGCACAGAAGTGCTAAATGAGAGGGGGAAGGAGCAGGAAAAGCAGCAGCAGCACAAGGAAGACCATGAGCAGATGTGTGCTGGCTGCAGCACAGTGTCTGCCCCACCAAACCAGCCCCAAAGCAGGGTCAGCAGAGGAACGAGAGCTTAGGGGAGGCACTGACACCTGCAAGTATGGAAAACGGGAAAATTACTGATGTAACTGATCTCAGCTAACCCACAGACTGACTGTCATATCAATATACAAATATCAGCCTGTCAGTGCTCTTCAAAGGGGAGAAGAAGTAAAACAGGAGGCACATAAGATTTGCACAATGTGTTCATGTATAAGGGGATCCTGTGATGGGCCGTCCAGAGCAGGTTCTTGGCTCTGCATCACTGTCTGTTTTCAAGTACCACAAAATTTCTGCCTTTAAAAAGTCCTTTTTCCAACAAAAGTGACTCTGAACTGGTAATTCTTCTTTATCAGGCCACCTAATATGATTTAGTAATTTATACTACACAAAAATGACAAACCCCAGTGAAGACTTTGCCATGCTACAGTCTGAGCCCAAGGCACTCCTCTTGGTGACCCTCTCAGCTGCTGAGATGAGCCTATGAGCAGAGCTCAGACTGCAGCAGCTGCTCTGAGCCTTGAAGGAGTGAGAAACCCCCAGCCTTACACACTGCACAATGCCTCCTCCTTTATCTTTTGTAAAATGACCTCTCAGGAAAGCAATTTCCAAAGTGACTAGTGTTGCTGGTGACACACAGCTAGGGGAAAGAGAGAATTTACAGTGATTAGAATAGATCAGATTTATGGACTAACAGGACAGGCGATGCGTGAAGCAGGGAATGAAATGTAATGAGGCCAAGAAAAAATTAAACATGCTCTATTCCAACCTAAACAGCAGTGTACAATAAGACAGGAAACACAATCTACAACAATTCACGTAATGTTTCATAGCATTATAAAGAAAAAGCAGAAAAGATCTTGCAGCTCTTACAGACTTCACAATACAGAGAACAAACCAAGGGAAGACTGTAAGGCTAGCTGAAATGTCTGTATGAAATGCACAAAGAGTGTGTTAATCTCAGGAGCACTTTTTGCCACACTGCAGAATGTGAGACACTGCCAAACAGGCTTCCAGGAGGTTCAAACTCAATCCTGAAAGATTTCATAGATACCATGTTATTTGGGCAACATGAGCATTTTTGCAAAATTAAACCTACAAGTTATATTAAATCATCCTAAAGCTTGCAGGATCTGACGGCTTTTAGGCATGCAGATAAATGCAACAGAAAAGCTGTTTCTCAAAATGAAAGGGTATAGCAGAGAATAAAACTGGCCTAGAAGAGAGCAGGAATGAGAAGTCAAGAGTTTGAACTGGTCCTTGAAAAAGCCTTGGTGGTCTGGTAGTGGGGCTCAGCGATACCGGAGAAAATTCTGTGCCAAAGGATGTTCTGGGTTACCAAATACTGCTGGGGGGAATATTTTAATGCAAATAACCTTTTACAGATAGGGATACCCTTAAAACTGTGAAAATTTTCTTTGTGCAAGCTTTAAATTTCTACTCTGAAAATATCTACATATATGCTTAACTTTATATGTGTTGACTAGTTGAATCAACTGGGGTAATCATGGGCTCCAATGTGTTAAGCATTATAAAAAACAAGAGGATTAACAGGTTGGTATGTTTTTATCTGCCTTTGGTTCACTGTATCCTTCTTGCATTTGTACTTGGGGCAGCAGGAAGAACTGCAACTCCTGCAAAGCAAAGAGAAAATGCAAGATTTTAAAATACTATCAGATGCAACAAAATTTTTCTTTACTGGAGACCAATCATTTTTAAAGGCCCTCTGTACATACTTTATTAAAGCATTTCCTCCAGCACAGCAACTTCTGAGCTGTATTCCTGACTAGCTTCTTGATTGGGCTCAGAAGTAAAATTATCATTCAGATATTAGCAGTTTTACTGTTCAAAGTCTAATGTATTTTGAAAGCTTAAACAAAGTCAATAAATATTTAAATTAAATGTAATCTGCAATTGCTTAGTGATTTTAATTAAGAATTAAGTTGCTGTTCCCTTGAAAAATGTGTTTAAAGTCAGTGCAATGGGAGAATAATGTTAGGGTATTTAAGATTCTGCACCATTATTAATATATTTTTCACTATATTGCAGGCTGAGTTTAGCAATGCTGCTACACAACTACTCAGAATTATCTTTAAAAAAATACAAAAAATAAACTTAACTCAATTTTGAACTGTGACTGAGGCACAGAAGAGTGTTTCACTCAATTTTTTTCCCCCATTTTTATTTCTGTTTTGAGTTTAGTTCTTTCAGGATTCCCTCCCTGAGCCCACTGGGTGTGACAAAGGAGTCTCACGGAGATTTATATGGCTTTAGGAAGAAAGGTCTGTGCTGGCTTCACACAATTCTTTTCAAACAAGAGTGTTACAATCCTATTTAAGACAAAGACTTATTCCTTGCATGAGGGTTACAAAAGCTGGATCCCATCCATGGGCTCCCTTCATACTAAATAAATCCAAGACCAAAGGGTATCCCACCCACCCCAGAGCACTTCCCCAGCACAGGGAACCTCCACAAATTACAAATCTCTCAGTCACCCGCAAGTTTTTTCTCTTGTAGTCCACAAACAAGTAAAAATATTTTTTCTATTTTTTCCAATCTCTAAAAGTATTCCTGCATAAACTGTGGTTGCATTTTTACCACAACATGGGCACTGCATTGGACAAAAATTTTTCTTTGGTTTAAGGGAGTGGGAGGCAGGAGGACAGCCTATGTCTGTCCCTTGCCCCAG